CTGTGTTCCAATAAGACTTTTATGGCCATTGGTGAGTCACACGAAACAAGCAGCTGGCTGGATATTTGGCCCACAGGCTATAGTTTGCTACCCCTGATGAAAACCATCACAGGTTCTGGTCTGAGAGCTAATTGCAGATTGAAACTAAAAATGTGGAGTGAAACACGTTCTTTCTACCAGCCTATCATAAAGCTGTAATTATTAAGTAAAAGTTTGGAAATAAAGACCTTATCTCCACTTAAGAGTGGAAATAGGTGAAGGAATAAAGAGACACAAATCTCAATCATATATAAATTAGTCACAGGGATGAAAGTACAGTGTGGAACAAAGTCAATAGTTCTGTAACATATTTCTATGTTGGCAGTAGCTACAGTAGTTGGGGAGAGCATTTAATCATGTAGGTAGCTGTCGAGTCACTGGTGTATACTTGAAAACAACATAATATGGTATATCAACTATATTTCTGTACAAAATAAATAATGTTTTCAAAGATTTTTTTAAGTGGTTTTAAATATCAGTGGATAGGCAGCTGAGATATTACCGTGTGTATGCAGAACAAAGTGACTTTGACTTTGGTGCTGAAGTTCTATTTAAGGGTTTTTGTGCTAGAGGAAAGCAGAGGTGGAAAACGATAGCACCATTCAGACAAAAGACAATGAATGCCCTGGGGAAGAGTAAATGTTCTTTTTTTTTTTCTTTCTTTCTTTCTTTCTCAGTTCTAGCAAGATTGATCCTGGAGTGTCACCTTTCCTTTTCTAAAGTGAGCAGAGCAACTTTGATAAAAGAGCTCAAGGGGTGGTAGCTGCCTGTGGGCTAGAAGGGGGCCAGCTCCACTTTCAGGGGAAAGGTGTCTAACCAGACTGTTGGGTTCTGAGGGCCTGGGATCCCTGGTAGCAGTTGGGGGCACACCCTTAGAAGCAGGGCACAGGGATACCTATCATCCCAGTGAGCCAAGCACTAGCAGCTGAGACCACATAGAGTCAAATTGTGGCATCCCATTAGCTGGGCTGAGCACCTAATGTCATCACCCACCCTTGAAGAAGGGCAGAGACTGAGGGCAGCTGCTGCTCAGCAGTCCTGCAGGTGGACGGCCAGGGATCAGCCTGGGCCATGTGGCTGTGAGCACCAGTGCAGGCCCTGCTCTGTGAGCGGAATCTGATTAAACCTGGCCTGTGGGATCACATGAACCCTCCCACCTCCTGGACAGTTTGAGGAAGAGAGAATCTCAAGGGGGTGAGAGTGGACTGTCAGACAAGATGGCCCTTGAAGGGTGAGTCCATTTTCAGTCATACAAGAAAATAAAAGAGATGCAACACATTTGCAGTCAGGCTTTAGGAAGTTGCTGCTGGGTTATGTGAGGGTGAAGTGAGATCCTGACAGCCTGACATGCCCCAAGGGCTAAAAACCGTTCACTTCCATGGCCCCCACTCTGGCATTCTCCTGCCCATTAAGGAAGAGAGATCCTCAGTCCGGCTGATGCAGACAGTCCTTGAGAGTCTCTGTGTTACAAAGACTGGTCCTCACTTTCTGGGTCTCCTGCAGCTGTACACGTGAGCTGGCTGTTTGGCAAATCTGTCCACCACACCTACCCCTCTCCTCTTCCCAGAGCTATTTAAGACCTCAGCCCCCAGGACTCCCAGTTTCCCAGCAGAGATAAAAGAGCCCTTGAAGGTTCAGCTCCAGGAATAGTTACCCAAGAGCAGGGGACTGGGGTGGGGCACCAATGGAGTGAGACCCTTTGTGTGGGGCCCAAGCCCCCACCTGTGCCATGTTCTGCAGGTGCCATCCTCTCTGCTCTCATTTATGTCTTAGAGGGGCTGGGCAAGAGGGGCTGATGCAAGGAGGTTTCATTGACACTAGGCCTACTTATCAATGTTAGGAAACGAATGAAGTGAGAAGAGAAAATCAAAAGTAATATGCACTTGAAATTTTTTAAAGTGGCTTATTGTCTCTGCCTAATCACCAGGAAACACAGTCACGATGACTTACCCTTTCTAGGGGTCACATCTGCCTCTGTTTCCCATGCCGTTTGTTCAGCAGTGCACACCTTCACAATGCGTGGCTGTGGCTCTGACAAATGGGCTGGCTCACAAACTGCGCACACTTTCGTGTTATCCTTTTTTAGTGGTGTCTTCTCTTAACAAAAGAGTGGACGCTGCTCCCGAGAGATGACTCTTCAGGCCGGGCTGCAGATCTTGAGTCTCTTGTCAGCCTGGATCCTCCAAGTCACTATATTAGCATGTCTTTGTATTTTGATGCTTTTACAGTGAGGGCCTTGCAAACCTGAGGGACTGTCCCTCACAGGACTGGATGACTTCTGGAGACAGTAAATGATTCACTTACAAGTATACCTCCCGTATGCAAACCAACCAGTCCAGAGTCCCCACCCCAACACCTTCTTTCTTGGGCTCTCATCTGACAGGTCACTATCACCTCACCCTAATCACCGCAGGACCAGATACCAGACAACTAGGCAGCCCCTACACCCAAGAGCCCACTGTCTCTGACATGACCAGTTACTAAATCATGAGTGAGAACGGGTTTGCTTGTCCCCTCACTGAGACCACCAGTAACATCCCACTTGTGACCTATGGGGTCACCCAAGCCCTGTGATCAGAAGGGCCTTACCCTTGGTTTAATTCTGAGCTGTTGCTGTCTTGAAAGTCTTACAACACTTTGAACAAGGTGCCTATAGTTTTATTTTATGCTGGGTCCCTCAAATTACATAACCAACCTTGGAGACCCTCATTTCCTGCCCAGTGGAAGAAGAGTATAACCCAGGCCAAGGACCCCCTGGGAGGCTGCCTTGAAAATTGGGCCTGGCCATCAGGGCACCCAATAGGAGGCTGGCTGTTTAGAGAAACAATCCATAGTAGAAATTTAATGAGCAAATTTAAATCATTAAAAATTTAGTGCATACCAGCTGAGAAAAGATGAACCATTCTAATTCAATTGAAAATATCAGAACAAAAGGAAAATGTAAGGTCTGCATGTTTTTCTTCAAACCCTACCAGCTGGCTGTTCTCTCTTGTTTATCTTGGCATCTGAATCTTTATTTGGTAGCAAATTAATCTGGTAGTGATCCCTATCATAAGTCTTCTGGATTAGAGGGCTGATTTCATTATAAAAGGCTAAGTTTTTGATGCCTGTAGCCTGTTGGAAAGAGCCAGAGTTGGCAGGCAGCAAGTGTCGGCTGTTCTACATAGGGTCGATGGGCCAGAGAGCTAAAGTATTGTGTCAAACAAACAACACAGGTCAGTCCAGCCCCAAACCTTTTCTCTTTGTCTTTGGCATTGGAAATAGTGAAGTGGATCACGCTGGTAATCATTAATCAGGGAACAGAAGCTGAGATGAACTCTGCTCTTAGCACCTTCCTATGTCTTTTTGGGTCCCTCTTTTCTCTCCGTGAGCTGTCCTTAACCCCCAGCCACCCACTCTTCAGATAATGCTGTTGGCTGTCTGATGCTTCCTTCCTCAGTGGGATACTTGACTGTCCTTCCAGCATCCTTATCCTGTAACCTCAGGCCTTGGTCCTCAGCCACTTGTCCCTGGAGAACATTAGGCAAGTAGCACAACTGATGACATTGCAATGGCAATCCAGGAATGTCTGCACTTTGTAAAGGAGGAGACACCTAAATATGCAAGTCTAAACCATAGGTAGTGCCCCCACATGGGAACATTTGAGGCCTACTTCAACAGGGAGCAAGGACATGAGTTGGGAGTAAATGAACTGGAAAAAGCTGTAAAGATTTCCTGTAAGAGAGTTACATTTTTGTTTAAATATTGCTTTGAAAACTTCTGCTGTCAGAAAAGAAGATGGTTTCTTTAGCCAAGGCTGTCTCTCTCTATCTCTTTGCAAGCATTTTGCTACCAACTGGGATTTGCTGGTGGTCGCTCATAAGGGTGTGATCTGGCTTCCCAAAGACTTACCTTCCTGACATGGGTATACTTGCTCCACTTATGTCTTATTTAAAATTAAATAAGAAAATGGAAACTCTTTAGTAAGCTAGGCAGTCAGAAACATCACAGAATAAAGATGGTTATTCCCAAATCAAGTATTTAGAGGAGGTTGACATCAAAATTTAGACAGTCAAGCCAAATTGTAAAAGACTTTGAAATGGGCAATAAGATGACTGATGTCCCATCCAGCGCTCCCACAGTGCTGTCTCTGCCTTTCACTGCCCTTCAGCGACTTCCCAACTCCATAAATTGTAGAAAACTGACTGAAATGTAATTGATTCTTGTCTGTAAAATTCAAATGAGTTGTGTTCAAAGGAAGGAGAGGCAGTTGATTATTGCTCCGGGAGCATTACCCAATTTAGCTTTTATTTGCAAATTCATTTTAGCATCTCTGATTGTGTTCGTGTGCGTGTGTGTTGAATTCTTGTTTGAACAGACTATAACATCTTAATCGTTTCCTCATTAATGAATGAGCTAAATCTGTAACACATGTTCATTTAAAAATTGTAGGGAGTTACCATTTGCAACAACATGGGTGGAGCTAGAGGGTATTATGCTCAGTGAAATAAGCCAGGCAGAGAAAGACACGTACCAAATGATTTCACTCATCTGTGGAGTATAAGAACAAAGCAAAACTGAAGGAACGAAACAGCAGCAGACTCACAGACTCCAAGAAGAGGCTAGCAGTTACCAAAGGGAAGGGCGTGGAGAGGGTGAGTGGGGAGGGAGAGAGAAGGGGATTAAGGGGCATTGTGATTAGCACACATAATGTAGGGGGTTCATGGGGAAGACAGTATAGCACAGAGAAGACAAGTAGTGACTCTAGCATCTTACCAAGCTGATGGACAGTGACGGTGAAGGGGTGTGGTGGGGACTCAGTAACATGGGTGAATGTAGTAAGCACAGTGTTGCTCATGTGAAACCTTCATAAGATTGTGTATCAATGATACCTTAATAAAAAAATTAAAACACTGATACATATGGAAAAAGAATTGTAGAGGGTTATCCTTTAAAAGAAATGTCTTATAACAAGAGTCCAACTCAGTAATGTGTGATGGTCATGATAAAGTCTCAATTTCTTTCAAAACTGCTGTTAAATTGTTCAGTTAAATTTAGCTGCAGCCTTTGTCCTTAGGGTTCAAAGCCCTTCTAAGGGTAAGTGCTTCTTTAGATGTATCAGCTGCTAATGACCTGAATTTCTTCACCCCCAGCAAAGAGTGAGAATGTCACATAATTTGTATGTGTTTGTTTGTTTTATGTCCATTTTTATGTTTGTTTTTGGTGGATACACCTTCACCAAATGCAAAAGTCCCCATCTGTTTTTAGCTTACTTCCAGTTTTTATGAGAAATGAATATTGAATTTTATTGCCTTTTTAGCATTTGTTGAAGTGATAATATGGTGTTTCTACATTATTTTTTTAATGTAGTAAATTGTATTAAGTTTTTTTTCTGACTGTCAAGGCAGGCTTCATTCCTGACCATAATGTATTTAATTTTTAATATTCAATTTACTAATATTTTATTTAGGATTTTTCATATATGTTTGTAAAAAGAGATGAATCTGTATTTTTTTGTTTTTGTCAAGCTTTGTATCTAGCTTATGCCAACCATACAGAAAGAGTCAAAGACTTTTCCAACTTCTAGCTTGAAATGAGTTTGTTTATAATATTTTAACAATTAGTGGTATATTCAGATTTTCTATTTCTTCTTGAGTTAATTCATTAAATTATAATTGCTAGAAAATTATCGAATTCAAGATACAAACTTCTGGTGTTATGTTCTCTTATGACATTAAAAGGTTATATATTCTTTTACATTCATTTTTAATATTGTTTCTTTATGCTCTATTTTTATTTCTGGGATAATCTCACTCAAGGTTTGTCTATTGTACTAACCTTTTCAAAACAACTATCTTTCAATTTTCCTGACCTTTTGTCTTTATTTTTATTGTCTTCTTTCATTAATCTGAGGATGTCTTTTGTATCTTGTCCATGACATAGAATATAAGGGAATAGCTCTGTGCTCCTTAGAATGTTTTTTACTTGATAAACTTCATTATGCAAACATGATACTAGCTCAAGGGCAACAAATATTTTAAAAAGGATTCTTTCCATTTTGATTAATATTAGAGTACAATTTGATGAAAATTATACATTCAGAGAGTGATGGTTTCAATGAGGTATAAATTATATTAGAAATGTCACATGCAACAAGATAAATAGTAAATGTGGGTGGTATTATATGGACCACATATTCATTCTGACAATATAAGTACTCATTTTCCAAATTAATTTATTCTACATTCATACTACAAGTACTTATGGCATACTATCAGGATATTGGAGGTTCACTGGTAAATAATACCAAATAGATCTGTTTTCCTCATTTTAGTGTGGGAAATGGATAATAAATAAGATAGTAAAAAATGTGTGTGTAATTTCAGATAGAGATAGGTCTTTTGAAGAAAATAAATCAGGATGCAAGACAATAGAGAATAAGTTGTTTTGAATTCTCTCCTGATGTTGATGGATATCTAGTAATGAACATACTTTTATGTTTTATGAACTTCTTAAGGCATGCCTCAGCAGAATCAGTGGAAGAGTAGTGGTGGAGAAGATTGTTAGAATAATTACAAAATTCTGTGAATTTTTATAGACTACCAATAGACTTCTCCAAGTAAGATTTTAAGATAAAAGAGAATAAACATCTACTTTAAAAACAGCCTACTTTATATACTTTCTAAAATATGTTGACACTTTCAGTTAAATACCTTCAGACACTGAAGGATATTTGACAAAAACACTGTAAATGGAGTAATGCTTAATTACTCCATTTACATCTTTGTTCAGAGGCCCCAGCAGAAAGCGATGACCTTCAGGCTGCAGTGGCTTTTCCTAAAATAGGTTCCCAGTCCACCTTTTAATAGGCAGCCTAGATTTACCCTCTTAAGCTCTCTTCTTCTTACCCCCTTTTCTTCTTTACTTTCTTTCGATTTTTTTCAGAAAGATTTTTTGAAGGCCGTGGTGGGGTCAATGATATGTAAATAAAATAGATAAAACACAGAATACACCTTTCTACTTAAACTGTGTCTTTATGAATGTGAACACAGTGAATATGTGCCCATGTTTTCAAAATACATTTTGCCTAAATTCTTCACTTTTTCTTAAAGGATATGAAGCCGGAGCTCCACTTACAGAACAAAGTTGGAGAGAAGGCATTACTGGTTACTTGAGTTAAATAAATGAAACTAGGCTTTCTAAATTATGTGGGTGATTTAAGAAAAGTCTCCTCCTATTGTGGCTGGATTATTCAATTAGTTACCACAATTATTTCACAATCTTTGATTGCAATTGTCCAGTCTCCAGTGAGCTATAATCACTTCCATGTGATCTCAGCTCGAAGTCAGTGGCAGGAAAACGAAACTGACATCCACATTGGAAGTAGACAAAGACACATTTTCAGGAATCACCTTTTTTTATTTGAGTTACAAATTTTAGCAACAACGTTAAACTCAAAGAATAACAGGAATTCCTCCTCTAAGCACCTAGGCAAATGAAACATAAAGAGTAAAAGGGCTAAAAAATTTAAAAGAGGCCCAACCTTTCCAATAAAACATTGTCTCATCTCTTGTAAGTCACTTGGCATACATATTTCTTGTTTTAAGTCATATACCTCTCAAAAGAATAGTGGGTGGTTGGATGAATGAATGACAGATGGATGGACTAAAAATTGATAAATGCATGAGTAGTCATTTAGAATGAATGATTGTGTTTGAATCATAAAGAATGAAAAAATGATTTTTGCCAGTTTGTCCATCCCATACACCTCTAAAGTTCTGAATGTATTTTAGGAATGTATTATTTACCTGAATATGAACCAAATTCAGGTTCATATTCTGACTGTGAACCACACATACAAAACAGATGAAATATTATTTACCTTACAAGAATCCATAGGTCAAATGGAGAAGCAAGCATATAAATCAAATGATAAAAATGGGAATGAAATGAAAAATTATGGGACACAGACTTTGAGTGCTATAGGCATTGAAGGAATGAAGTCTGTCCTCCAACTCAATGTATTTTCCACTTGACCCCTGATCTAGAAGAATAAGAAGGTAGAGCAGATCGGAATCAGAGTAAGTGGGCTGGAAGCTCCAACCAGAGGAGAACTGAGATCAGAACTGGGTTGGTGGGGAAGCTCAGGGCTTTGAGCCCTTATGGCTGACACCCAGTTAGGTGGGCATTAATCCACATCTCCTCACACACTCAAGCTTGATGCTTGTGATAGTTAATTTGTAAATTTAGCAAAGCTTTAGTATACACTTATTTAATCAAATACTAATCTAGATGTGGCTACGAGGGTATTTTTTAAATATAGTTTATATCTATAATCAGTTGACTTTAAGTGAAGCAGATGATCCTCAGTAATAGGGATTGACCTTGTCCAATCAGTAAAGGGTCTTCAGAGCAAAACTGAGGTTTCTCAAAGGGGAAAAATATTCTGCTTAAGATTGCAGCATTAACTCCTGACTGGTTTTCTAGCCTGCCAACATGACCTACAGACTTTGGACTTGCTAGCCCCCACATTACATGAACCAATTTCTTAAAATAAATCTCTTAAAACTTTTTAAAAATCTCTCTTTCTCTCTCCCATTGGTTCTGTTTCTCTGGAGAACCCTAATGGCTACGATGCCTTATTTAATATAAACAAGTTTCCCTCTAGGGGAGATACAGGTGCAAACCTGGATATCTGTGTCTGCTGTGGCTTGAATTTAATGACGATTTTTTATGCACATTTTTAGGACAATATGGGAAGTCTGGTGATGTTCTGACAAGGTTCTGAAATATGGTTGGTAAAATATAGGAAATGAGCTCACATGCATGGTCCCTCAGGAATGCTTTCTGCCCCCCTTTTTTCTAGTTATTAAAGTATCATTGATAGACAATCTCATGAAGGTTTCACGTGATCCACACTGTGGTTACTACAATCACCCATATTATCGAGTCCCCCACCACACCCCATCACAGTCACTGTCCATCAGTGTAGTAAAATGCTACAGAGTCACTATGTAACTTCCTGTGCTGAACTGCCTTCCCCATGACCCCCCTACATCATGTGTGCTGATCATAATGCCCCTTAATCCCCTTCTTCCTCCCTCCCCACCCACCTTCCTCACGCCCTTCCCTTTGGTACCTGCTACTCCCTTCTTGGAGTCTGTGAGTCTGCTGAATGTATTTAATTTTTAATATTCAATTTACTAATATTTTATTTAGGATTTTTCATATATGTTTGTAAAAAGAGATGAATCTGTATTTTTTTGTTTTTGTCAAGCTTTGTATCTAGCTTATGCAAACCATACAGAAAGAGTCAAAGACTTTTCCAACTTCTAGCTTGAAATGAGTTTGTTTATAATATTTTAACAATTAGTGGTATATTCAGATTTTCTATTTCTTCTTGAGTTAATTCATTAAATTATAATTGCTAGAAAATTATCGAATTCAAGATACAAACTTCTGGTGTTATGTTCTCTTATGACATTAAAAGGTTATATATTCTTTTACATTCATTTTTAATATTGTTTCTTTATGCTCTATTTTTATTTCTGGGATAATCTCACTCAAGGTTTGTCTATTGTACTAACCTTTTCAAAACAACTATCTTTCAATTTTCCTGACCTTTTGTCTTTATTTTTATTGTCTTCTTTCATTA